TGATGGGCAAGAACACCATGGTATGTGATGCGACATTACTCGTCCCGTGTCGACCAGACAGCTAATGCGACTCGACTGCACTAGGTTCGCCGTGCCCTCAAGACCTTCATCCCCGACTCCCCAGAGTACGAGCGTCTCCTGCCTTTCGTCAAGGGCAACGTCGGATTCGTCTTCACCAACAGCGACCTGAAGACCATCCGTGACAAGATCCTGGAGAACAAGGTCGCCGCCCCTGCCCGTGCCGGTGCCCTCGCCCCCGCCGATGTGTGGGTCCCCGCTGGCAACACCGGTATGGAGCCCGGCAAGACCTCCTTCTTCCAGGCCCTCGGTGTCCCCACCAAGATCGCCCGTGGTACCATTGAAATCACGGCCGACCTGAAGCTCGTTGAGGCCGGCACCAAGGTCGGCCCCTCCGAGGCCACCCTGCTCAACCTGCTCAACATCTCCCCCTTCACCTACGGTCTGGCCATCGAGCAGGTCTACGACGAGGGCAACACCTTCCCCCCCGATGTCCTGGATATCGGCGAGGAGCAGCTCCTCAAGTCCTTCAGCACCGCTATCGCCACCGTTGCCTCCGTCTCTCTGGCTATCGGCTACCCCACCCTGCCCTCGGTCATGCACACCTTCGTCAACGGTTACAAGAACGTCGTCTCCGTCGCCATCTCCACCGAGTTCTCCTGGCCCGAGATCGACGAGCTCAAGGACCGCATTGCCAACCCCGACGCTTACGCCGCGGCCGCCCCTGCCGCTGGCGCTGGCGACTCTGGCGCCGCCGCTCCCGCTGCTGAGGAGAAGAAGGAGGAGGAGGAGGAGGAGGAGGATGACGACATGGGCTTCGGTCTCTTCGACTAAGCGGTGTCTTTGCGCCTCTCGACTTGTTGATGACACGTACGATCGATGAACTTACGGCTTCTCACGATGGGGGCCGACGTCAACCGGTTCTTTGCGGGTAATCTGAAAACGGGTAAATTGGTCCGTCGGAATTGGGACCATGTTATGGGATAATATCCTCTTGGTAGCGAACAACTACGGATCATTTGCTCCCAGCCATGTTGTTCATGGAACTGCACCGTGACAGGCATTGTGTGCCGTTGCGCATTGTCGACCTCAATGGTAAGCTCAAAATTCCCTTGTTTATTGAAGCGAAGGCTTGTCGAAGATTAAAAAAACTACTCAAGAGCTTTTTAACCCTGAATCTTTCTGATGACCTCATCACAACCCAATGAGACACACCTTCATGCTTCGGCTTTTTTGTACACATATCTATTTGCTTGCACAGTGGGGTATCTTTTGCTAACTCTGTCCAAGATATACAGATGTTTCTTACTTTACATGCTCGACGCCATGTAAAAGCATTCAGCCTTCCCGTGGCATCTGAGCGTCAGCTCTGGGCCTTCGTGTATTCATGCTCATGTGATCTCCTCACTCACTCCTCTCCCCTGTTGGGGTATGAGTATACCTCTCGCCGTCTGTAGAGCCGCCTCCGGCAGACCCGCCAGCCGTGCGACCTTGAGCGCATGACTCTGGCGGTTGAGGCCCTTGCGTAACTTGTGAACGTAGACAAAGCCTCCCTGTTCATCCTCGGCCACATCCGTGCAGTACATCTCCACCGCGCCCGTGTCCCCTCCGTCCTCGACACGCATCGCATGCTCGGCCACCATGTCCGCCACGCCGTGGAAGTGAGTCGCGAACAGGGTCCTGCACTTGTTGACGTGTACGAGGTGGTGCAGGCACGCAAAGGCAACCGCGCACCCGTCCTCGGGCGTCGTGCCCCTGCCGATCTCGTCCATGATGACGAAGGACCGCGGCGTGGCCTGCCGGAGTATGGTCGCCGTCTCGAGCATCTCCACCATGAAGGTGCTCTGGTCCCCGAAGAGGTTGTCCGCCGACCCCACGCGGCTGAACATGGCGTCCACGATTCCGACCTCGGCGTACGAGGCCGGCACGTAGCAGCCTATCTGCGCGAGGATGGTGATGAGCGCGTTCTGGCGGAGGAAGGTCGACTTGCCCGCCATGTTTGGGCCGGTGATGAACCAGACCCGGCCGTGGTGGCCCGAGCCCTTGCCGCCGCCCGCCCCGACGAAGCAGTCATTGCTTGCAAATGTCCTGCCCGCCTCCCGCAGCCCACCTTCGACGGTGGGGTGCCGGCCGCCGGCGATGACGTGCCCGGTGCCGCTGTTCAGCACCGGCCGGACGAGGTTCTGCTCCCCCGCCAGGCGCGCAAACGACGTCGCGATGTCCAGCTCGTCGAGCACGTGCGCGTTGCGCCGCAGCTTGACGATGTTCAGCACCGTCTGCTGCCTGAGATCTTGGAACACGCGCTGCTCCTCGGCGCGGATCTGGAACCGCGCCTGGTCCAGCCGCCGGCCGAGTTCGGTCCACTCGGGCAGGTGGAAGGAGCGCGACGTCTGCGTCTGCCGGCCCAGCAGCCCGGGGATGGCGGCGATGGCAGACGACGCCGATTTCAGGTCCTTCTTCCCTTTGATGTGACAGATATGGCCGAGGCCAGGGGTCCACTTCAATGTGAGCGATTGTGCGCTGAGCCGTTCGCGCAGGCTTGTAGCGAGGCGTTCCTTTTCGTCAAGTAGTGTGTCGAGCTGGGAGTGGAGTTTCTTGAGGTGTCGGCTGGCGTCTGGCTTCATGATCCAGACCTCATTGTCCTCGCCGTAGTAATTTTGAAGGGAAACTGGCTTGCGCCTTTTGGCTGACTTTGGGAGCAGCGCTGAGTCCTCGACTGAGCCTTCATTGTCTACGATCTCCTGGGCCAGTGCAATCATGTTCCCAGCCTCGCTATCTTCGATCTGATGCTGCTGCACGATGCCCTCCTCGTCGATCGCCTCGCGAATACGGCGGGCCAGCTTGCGGGGATTTTCAAGGTCGATGCGGTCTGTCATTTGTTTTAGAGATTCTTTCGCTGCGGCCGATTCAACATCAGTAGTAGAAACAGCTCCCAGGAGCATAGAGACAATGTCTTCCGTAGCTTTAATTGTGCTCGCGAGGTCAAGGAGATCATCGGCATCTCCCCGGCCGAGCGCAAACTTCTGGACAACCCTCTGGGAGTCATGGCTTCTTCGTAATAGTAGAGTGATACCTTCGCGGAGTGCCTCGTCTGCAATGAAACAGGCTACAAGATCTTGACGGAATCTGATGACCTCTAAGGACGTTGACGGGGCGCTGAGCCACTCATTAAGAAGCCTGGCACCGCTCTTCGTAACTGTCCGTCTGATCGCATGAAGCAGGCTGCCACGGAATGTGCCGTCCCGCATGGTCTGCTTGATCTCAAGGGACCGCATGCTATTCTTGTCAATGTTCATCACCTGCACGGTCTCGTGACGTAGCGGAGGCTGAAGCTTCATGCTAATGCCCTGCAGACGATCCTTGACGTAGTGGAGCAGTAAGCCGCCCGCTCTGATCTCACCATCCGTGAACGACCCCAGAGCGTGGGGTGGTATTTCGGACTCAAGCATTGGTGCCCAGTCAGAAATGGCCACCAGCTCGCCCTGGGGAGCATATGTGATGAGCTGTCTCTCCTCAGCCAGGATCGAGAAGATAGCATGACCGGTGCGTGATTGGAAGGTCTCGTCCAACACGACCTCCCTCGGGCAGACGCGCGAGAGCATGGAGCCCAGCATAGACATAGTGGTGGCCTGCGTGAAGAAGTGGCCTGTCGACAGGTCCAACCACGCCAGCCCAATGGGGATGGGGGCATTTCCGGGAGCATCAGCAGACACAGAACCTGGGCCGCCGTCGGGAGACATTGTTTCGAGAGCCGCAGATACCGAAGCTCGGGGTAAATCATCCCCAGACAGGTGAATTGCCATGACGTAGTTGTTTGCATAAGGATCCATGAACTGCTCGTCGATGAGAGTACCAGGGGTGATGATGCGGGCGACCTTACGGTCATGCAGCAAACCACCCGACTTTGCCTGGTCTGGAGCGGCATTTGGGAACTCCTCGGCGACGGCCACATATCGATTCAAGTCCTGAACCAAGATCTTGAGGAATCGGTCCAGCTGGAAGAATGGAAATCCGGCCTATTGTCGAATACAGAACCATTAGAATCCGAGAAGATGGTGCCAGGTCCGAGCAGAAACGTACGACGTCTGGCCCGAACGGGCGGGTGAGAGGGGAGGGGACATGGCCGGGCTGAGAATTACCATTGGCACGGGCCCGGCAGCCGTCTTCTTCTGGGCGACCTTGAGGTTCAGGAGCGGGCCGTACTCGTCCGCGTGCTCAAAGTACAGCTCGTAGAACCCACCGACACGTGTCAACAGGACGCAGTTGTCAAACCTCTGCATGTTCCGGCGCGCCTGTAGCACCACGGTCGGGTAGGATGGAGCAGTTGGGGGCTCCTGCTCGTCGGCAGGGCTGGCTGGCAGGGAGCCTGCGCGGACGAGCCCCTGGGGAAGATCATCGAGGCTGACAACAGTCCTGGTCCTCTTGCCCCGGATCTGGATGTGGGTGTGGGGGAAGTCACGCGGCACTACGTGCGCCCGAGTCGGGATTCCATGGCGTTGACTGCTGGACCTGCATCGTAAGGTGACCGTCGGAGCTGGCCATTTTCCCAATAGGTGAGAGTGGAATCTCCGTTTGTGGAATGTTGCCCTTGACGAGCGAACGGCCGGACCCAGGAATGAGGGCAGCATCAAGACTGATTGTCGTTACTGGATGACCTCGACGTGCCCATCTCCAGTCCAGGCCCAATGTGCTCGATAATTTTGCCCGAAACGAACGGAAGCGCAAAATGAGTGGCGATGGATGAGCCCGCTGGCGTGAGGCGTGCAGTCGAAAGTGGACTGATTTTCTGTGGTGACGTTTGATTGTGTTGGTGAGGTGAAGGGACCAGGGTCAGGGTCCGGAGTCCAAACGCAACCCCCCCCTCTTTCCCAGCCGGTGTAAGCTCCAACCCTGGCCGGCATCCGGGAGTGGTGGATCACCGCCCACGCCGTCCCCACTTGCATGAGCATCATAGGTTTTCATCAATACTACATTCCACCCAAGCCCGTTTAGCTCATCGGTAGAGCGCATCACTAGTAATGATGAGGTGACTGGTTCGATTCCAGTAATGGGCATCAACTCATGCTCCTGTTCCTCACAGGAGTCTCTATTACGCTCCGGCTTCCTCCTTTTTTCTTCATTTTGACATTTGGCACATTGGACTCCGACTAGCTGTACTCCTTGCTCACAGTGCTTCTGCTCTCTCAGACCTCTCGGGCTGGTCACAACGGTTGAGACAAACTTCCTTGAGACGCAGCACCGGCACGTACTAAGTAACACGTGCGGCCTCAGAACAGCAGCCACGCAATGACTTCGCGCAGGATGTTGTGGAATGGTTTTCACAAACCTCTACACGATACGATGCACCCTACACTGACCGTTGTAGCGTTCAACAACCTCCACACCGCGTCCCCTTGCGATTATTGGCACCCGGCATATAAATGCAGAATACCATGCATGCAAGTACGGCTAGTCGTCAATTCGGTCTCAGCGGAGTCGGCAGTCGGAAGTCAAATTTTAAAGTGGATCACCCGCCTTTTTGGATCGAGAATCGAGAAATCGAGAATCGCACATCACCGATTGCATGGGTGAAATACAACATGCCAGGTGTCAGGGCCGGGCGAACAGGACCCTGAGTTCGGACACAACTACGGAGTACAGGTGCCAGTCCTCCACCTCGGGCCGCGGACCCGCTCGTCTCTGGGGTCGCAACACCACGACGACCAGCCATGCCACAACCGTGGATGGGTTGGTTGAGCATGGAGATGACCGCAGAGTAACACAACACCACGCTCACTCATCCGGCCAGCCTGCCAGTCTGTCAGGTCTGCCGGCCAAGCTACCCGGTCAGGAACAAGCAACAGATCGACAGCCTGTCCAACATGCCACGCATGATCTGGATCTGGCAGTGGCCATCTCGCGTTCAGTCAATGTCGGGCAATAAGCAGCGGCCACGAAGTATCTGCTTGCTCGTCCGCCCTCTGACCCCGCTCTCGTCCTCTCAGATCCTGTGGGCGCTCGTGTTATTTCCCCCTGTGCGTGCGACCACGCCGCTGGATCCAACAGGGGGGAGGAGGTGGAGGGCTCTCGGTCCCGCGATTTTGAGTTTGGGGAGACGTGTGGTTTGTGCCCCGGATAACCTCCCAAAGAAATGACCTGGAGTCAGGACTGGGCTGATGGTGGCATAAGCTTGACCAAATCAAATCAAAGCAAATCAAAGCAAATCCAGAGCAGAGCAGAGCGGAGCAGAGCAGTGCAGGCACAGCGCAGAGCAGGCCAACGGGCACATGGCAGCTGGCGGGTGCAGGCCAAGGGCAGCTGGCCGAGGGCAGGACATGGCGCGCAAGGACCCTTGTGCAGCAGCCGTCGGCATCGACCGATGCCCGCATTTATTTCATCACTTCTCGTTCGATGTTTATCAGCTTGGCCCGCTTCTTGCTCACAACTGTCCAAATGTTCACGACATAGTCGAAAGACGTCTGCCCGTCCTCTGCAGAGCCCTCCCCTCCCTCTGCCGTTTCCCCAGCGGGGTCAATCCGCCGTCAGCAGCTCCTCGACAATGCAATCGCCCTGCTGCCCGCCAACGCCGGCTGCCCTGGCGCCGCCTGGACGGTCTGGGAGCCTCTCTGTCTGCCACAAGTCCTGGTCCCACCGTCCCATCTCGCCCGTCAGGCTGATGATCCCTTGCCGCCGTTGCCCCATGGGCCCATCGCGAGCTAGATTCGGACCAGCCCATCTTCTCCACGAAATACCAAACATCAGGTACTGACGTCTGCACGCTGCCTGGCGATCCCACGCTGGCTGATGCCCTGGCTGATGCCCTGCCCATTCCCCAGCCTGACTGCCTGCAGCCGTAGGGCCGTTCCCCTTCCCACCCCTGAGCGCCGTGGATGCGAGTGCATCTCATGTCTTGTCCCATCTGCTCACCTCGCTCTCTACGCGTCGTATTTATTCCACCCGTCCCCTGGTCTCCACCGTCCGCCTCCGGGGTGCAGGAGTTCCTCCCCCTTCCCTCTCGACATCTATCTATCCCATCGCCTTGCTCCCACAGATTCCTGCCTGCTCCGTTGCTCAAGTCCTGTGCTTGGCTGTCCCAGCAGTTTCACCGGGAACAATAATCCCTCTTTCTCATACAAGGCTGCGGGCCGACAGGGACCTGGTCACCTGCAAGTGTAACCCGCGAAATCGGCCGGTGCAGTGGCCCGAGAAACGTCGATTATCACGCCACCTCTGTCACCGAATTTCTCCTACTGCCTCGTGTAACCAGCAACCATGGATGCCTCGACCTTCCCCATGATGTTGAATCTTTCTTCCCAAATCCCTTTACCACTCCCACCAGACCACAAGTTTTTCTTCAAACACGGTCCGAGTCACGCCCCTGCAGCCATCCCAGGCCTTGCGCACAACCTTGCGAATCCCTCGCTTCTCAAAACATTTGCCAGGGAGATGAATGGACAAACGCTTAAGAAGGAACCCTCGCTCCTGGAGAAGCACTTCCAGGAGCAACAACAGCACCGTCTGAACCTGAAGAAGAGGAACGAGGAGCAAGCGGAGAAAGAGCAACAAGAGAAGCAGACACAACCACAAGCACAGCAGCAGCAGCAGCAGCAGCAGTCATCACAAGAATCTGCTAGGTCCTCATCTACGCCATCGGCGAGTGAATCTAGCGCAGACACAAAGGTCCCGCCTCCATCCGCGTCGCCAGACACCGCCGCCCAACACCTATTTGATCTCGGCGGCGATCACCCAGCCTTCGCTGACCCCAAATACATCCAGATGGTCTCCCGGATGGCAGCCTTCTACCAGCAGAGATGCCAGGCGATTCTCAATTACCAACAACAGCGGTGCCAGACTTGGGCTACTGGTCACAGGCAGAAGTGCCAGGAGATGATGCAGTCCGCCATGCTCGTCGTGGCATGGTACATTCGGGACCGGATAGGACGGAGGAGGCGCAAGAGCAAGCGGGCTTTCCGTCGTGGTCTGCGCGACAAGAATACCGCCGCCGCCATGAGGCGATTACCAAAGGGTGAGGTTGTCCGCAAGTGGGTTATGGACATCCCCGACGCCGCCCTGTCGCCCAACAATGGCATGAGGGACGACGCGAAGCTGGACATGGAAGAGAGAGAATTCGACATCGAGAAGGAGGTGACGCCCGACAAGGACAGCCAGCTGTTCTCTGTCGCGGACCAGATGATCAAGTCTCAGCTGGCCAAGATCGACATCCCTCTGTTGGGGGCGTTGAATCTGGACGACAGCGACAGTGAGACTGATGATGACGACGACATGGGCCGCTTCCGTTATGCGCCCGAGGACTACGAGCTAGAGGATGAAGAGGACGACGGGGACTATGACGACGACGACATCGACTATGAAGATGAGACTCAGGAGCCTACTGAGGATGAGATCTCCCAGGAGGCACTCAACGGAACCGGCAAGGGGTCGCTGAAGAGGAAGCGCAGCGACAGCGACAGCGACATGGAACAAGTTGAAGTGACCGTGCCAGAGCCAAAGCGCCGTCTCGCAATTTAAAGGAACGGGGTACGGGGCAGGAAGATAGAGAAACGCGCACACGGCATGTGAGTTTTGGCATAACTTCAAAGGGCTTTTACTTGTTCAGGAGTTCAGGAGCTTTCATTCTCGTGTAATAATTCGGATACCCGTGTCGGCGCTTCATTTGAGCGTGGATATGCATACATATGGGAAGGGTATCTGAGTCGCCCCGTTTTTGACGCTTGGGAATCGGTACGGGAATGGACAGTGGATAGCCTGACATAGCTTTGGGAGTCTGGTTCACAATGTTTGGACTGGACTGAATCATCTAGGCGCAGAGAATAAAGAGAAACATTCATCAACTCAATTTCGAGCTTAATCTCTGTGATTCGTGATTACTTTGTGCATCAACGATTCTAATTTTATAGCTTTGCTTGATCATACAGTAAGTACTGTGACATTGCAGGGAGACACCGCCCAGATCGAATAAAGTCGTCTGTCTAGAGATATATTCGGCCACTGGGAGCTCGGCAGGACCACTGCCGGCGTTTGAGCGTCAAGGCATGCTCTGAATGTTCCCCCAGCTGAGCACATACAATCAATCATGGTCCTCCTCAGTCAACCCAGGGCAGCCTTCCATCTCCTCATCGGGGTAGGCAAGCTTGCACCAGAAGCAATAACGGTGCCTCTCCCTCAGGCACGCGACGAGCCTCGCCAGCTTGTCGTCCACCTCGAGCGCCTCGAACTCGTCCAGCTCCGCGTCCTCCTCGTCCAGGTCGTCGGCCGGCATGTAGACGGTCTTGTTCTTCTTCTCCGTGCGGGCCCCGGCGGCGCCGCTACCACCGCCACCGCCCAGGGCCATCTTGTCGTCGTCGTCCATGCCCTCGTCCTCGTACGCCGGCAGCCTCGCCGACAGCCCGCCGCTGCTCTGCTCGAGGTCATACCGCATCCTGCGGTCGCGCTCTGCCTCCTCGCGGCGGCGCACGAGGCCGCGGTAGACTACAGGGACGGACCTGAGCGGCCGCGACGACGACGCCTTCGCCTTGCCGCCAACCTCACCGCCAGCAGCAAGGGTTGAGGCGCCCCCGTCGTCCTCGTCCATCTTCTCCGCGACCTTCTGCGCGGCAAAGACCAGCTTCTCTTTGCGCGCCGCGTCCCGCTCCCGCGCCATGCGCACCCTGTAGTCGCCCAGCTCCTCGAGGCGCGCGCGCTTGTCAGCGCCCGCAGCCTCCGCCGCCTCGGCGAGCTTCCTCTTCTTGTCGGCGTCGGCGCCGATGCCGCCCCGGTCCTCCTTGGTCTCGATGCGGAGCGGCTCGCTGCGCGCCGTCGGGTTGTCGCGGCTACCCAGCGCGGAGCCGGGGGTGAACCCCATCTTGGCCATCATCGCCAGCCCTTTGCTCTTGGTCTTTGGCGGATTGGCTGCTGAGGAAGCCGCCCCCGTCCTGTCAGAAGGTTCCGCCGCGCCGGTGATGAGAGATCTCGAGAGGCCTTCCTCGCGCCTCTGCCGCTCCTGCGCCGCGAGCTCCGCCTTGGACGCCACGATGCCGCGCTTCAGGCCTTCTTTCCGCAGGCGCTGGCTGCGCTG